GGCTGACTAAGGTTGTGCCCATTCTTGATGCTCATGCTCCATTGCGCCACGCGTCTTCCCGACCAAGACAGCATTCACCATGGGTCAATGAACATTTGTTCCTGTGGATACGACGACGTAACCACGCTCATCGGAAATGGCTGCAATCTAAGTGCCAGACTGATTACGATGCGTTTAAAGAAGCCAGGCGTATTGTGACTCGTATGAACCGTGAATTGAAGACGAATTTTTCAGTCTAAGTTCACCAGTGTTCAAGGTAATCCCAGGAAAACGGGGAAGGTTTTGAACGAGTTATCCGGAAGACAACGTGTTCAATCCGTTCCACAATGCTCTGCAAGCAACATTGGGTGTGTATTTGCTGATGTTGTCAGTGATCAACAACGAGCTCCTGAACTGTGTCTTCCACAGGGCCCAGTGGGACCTAAGGGTTTTACATCCTTCAGTTCGGTGTCAACAGGTTGTGTGCGTAAACTGTTGGGTTCCTTGGACACCAGCAAAGCGACAGGCAGTGATGGAATACCCGCATTTCTTCTGAAGTCCTGCGCTGATTTGCTAGCTCCCTCCTTAACATTGATATTTAATGCATCTCTTGCTGTTGGTTCTGTGCCGGACGGCATGAAGTTGGCACATGTCACGCCGGTATTCAAGGCTGGAAATCCTCAAGTTCCGGGAAATTATCGCCCTGTGTCTCTCCTGCCAATTGTGTCGAAGCTGTTAGAACGAATTGTCCATAGACAGCTATCCTCATTTCTGGACAAGGAGAATTTGTACCCTCCCTGTCAGTTTGGCTTTAGACGTCAACATTCAACGGAAGACGCTCTAGTTTTCGTCACGGACACGTTTGTTCGCGCTCGCGATGCCGGACAAATTATTGGTGCTGTGCTCGTGGATATGTCCAAAGCATTTGACAAGGTCAGGCACTAAGTGCTCATTAATGACTTGTTTGAGCTTGGCATATCTGGTTCAGCATTAGTTTGGTTTGCCGACTATTTGTCCAATCGTCGCCAAATAGTGCACATTGTTGAGAACTATAGCCCTCCTTTCCCCTGCATGTGTGGCGTTCCCCAGGGCTCTGTTCTTGGTCCGCTGCTTTTTGTACTCTATGTTCGTTCGATCCAGTCCATTGTCTCCGAGTTCTGTGTGAAAGTTATTCAATTTGCTGACGATATTCTATTGTATGTTTGCGGTACGCAGAAGAATGCGCTTTGCAACTCCCTGTCTGCAGCTGTCTCAGCCATTAGTACCTGGCTGTCAAACCGCAATTTAATTCTAAATGCCCGGAAGACACAAGTGCTCTTCCTGTCTACGCCACATATTACTGACCACCAATTTGCAGTCTACTGTCATGGAGTGCAGCTCAAGCAAGTGACATGTGCAAAACACCTTGGAATACATTTGGACCAGGATCTTTCTTGGAGGACTCAAGTTGATTCTATGGTCACCAAACTTGCCAGTAAAATTGGTATTCTGTTCCGAAATCGACACAATATTCCGCTGACTTGCCGAGAAACCTTTGTAAAGTGCCTAGTGTTGCCAGATTTTCTATATGCATCAAATTGTTTTTCTGCTGGCCTTTCCTTAACCCAGTTAGGTAGGCTTGAACGAATGCTAAAGCGAGCTTTGCGGTCAGTGTATGATACTGGTTTTTGTAGCCCATCAAGCCCTTTATTTGCGAGACTTGGTCTAGATCGTTTGGCATCCATGTATTGCAAGAAATTACTGTATCTGACGTGGCGCTGTTTGGAAGGCCGCTGTAGTGTCACATTAAGTCAAATGTTCGAGCGTTTAAATAATGATCTTGCAACGCGCAGCCTTGTATCACGCACTCTTAAGTTACCCATGCTCAGAACTGCCTTTGCCCGTCATGACGCTTCCTTCCAATGTGCCAAGCTGTGGAATGATTTGCACACTCTCGCTCGCTGTGTGGATAACTCCGCCCGTTTTAAGAAACTGTTACCCCAATGCCTTGCTTTTTCACGCTAGTACTTATGACTTTCAGCTATGCAAAATGAGAACATGATCACCTATCCAATACCGGTGGTCTATTATATTAATTATTCATATCTTTTTGCATCTTTCCCTCGAGTGAGTCTATTGTTATTAGGCAATTGTCTTTTATAGTCACCACTATAAATAAAAATCCAATCCAATCCAAAAACACCCAGACAAACCACCAATTGTGGTTGCTTGCACAATCACGCACACACACGCCGATATATAGACAGGGTGTGGTTGCTTTCACAAAACTCATACACACACGCACACACACACACACACACAAACGCACCCCCCCCCACGCACATGCACACACACACACGCACACACACACACACTCACACACACACCCATGAAACCACACACACACGAACACACACACATATACGCGTGCGCGCACACACACACACACACACGCACGCGCGCGCATGCATGCAAGCACGCACGCACGTACACACTAAAACACAGAGTGTGGTTGCTTGCCCAGACTCTCATACACCCAGAGTATAGTTGCTTGCACAAACACGCACAAACCCAGACATAAACACAGAGTGTGGTTGCTTGCATGCACACAAACACACACACACACACACACACAGACCTTGGTCCTTGGTAACACTGCCATCAAATGGTCACGTGTCCCCTGTGCAGGCGTCGACAGCACTGAGTTCAGCATTGGATCCAGAAACGCCGCTCTACTTCCTGGACAGGAAATTAGCACAGCTATGCAAGTCGAAACCACGGGATGATTTGCAGCAGCGACCGCAGCCGAGACAATGCGCTCTACAGCAGGGCAGGGCAACCCGCTGTTTCCGGACCGAGTCTGCCGATGCCACAGCCGAGACCGACGCCACTTCAGCAGCCGAGTTGGAGAGACACTTATGCGAAGCTAGCCCACCAGAACTCAAGAACCATCTCCCGTACGCATTACATAGTCGGCTGCCGGACTGCTCAGATATGGGCTTCCTCCTCTCGGCCAGGCACTTGTGGCGATTCTTGTATTTCTGGTGGGCGAAAGTGCGCTGGCAGACATCGCAGAGCACAGAAATGTCACGCTGAGCCGATCACTGTACTGGTTGAGCGGAATATGCACTGCGCCATTTCCCACGCTCCTGAGGGAGATCGTACCATTTCGCGTGGTCGATGTTCATTGTGGAGAGGTCAGCTCTGACAGAGTCTCGCCACCGTTTCCGAGGACCGCAAGCTGGCCTCAGCGGAAGGAGCGTACCAAACAGGAGCTGGCGCGGAGTTCTATCGCCGTCCATCCTGGCTAGATGGCTTAGCCACTCCAGACGGCGGCGAAGAACACGTGTGGTAATATCCACCGGATTTCGACGATTCCAGGCCTCCAGAATGGTCTTCCTGTTGATGTGGAAGTCCCAGGTGTCTCTTCTACCGAGGGCTAAGATTGTGAAAATGCAGGGAAGATGGAAGACGGACAGCGCCGCAAGCTCGCTTTTCAGTGGCACCCAACACTCCACTCCGTAAAGGAGAAGAGAAGCCACACATGCATCATACACCATTCGCTTCGTTGCCAGTGAAAGATCGTCATCATCAAAGACAGATCGACGCAATGCTCAGAATGCCCTGGATGCTGACATTATTCGGGACCGAGTGTCCACTGCGGTGCGGCCACAAGTATGGATGATGGAGCCTAGGTTGAGAACGTGCATGACACACACACACACACACACACACACACACACACACACACACATACACACACACTCACACACACATACACACACACACACCTGTCCTGCCCTGTAGAGCCACTACCACTAGGGTCACGTGGATCCCGGAGGGGCAGCAGAGAGAGAGAGAAAGAGCACGCCACCCGATGGCTCTCCAGATGCGAGACTAGTCGGAACCGGCGAGAGCAGATTCACATATGCCGGAACTTGTGTAGTATCCCTGCCCGACCAATACGGAAGCAGTACGGAACTAATACGGAGCTTTGCCTGATGTATATTTAGTGTATCTCCGAATGTAAGCGTACGGCAGCTGCTGCATAAAAGCGGCTGAGCATTTCTGTTTTGATGAAGAGAAGATTAGATTAGATTGGATAGCAATGAAAGCTAACTCGAAGAAGAAGGATTCAACCTCTAGGTGAGCACCGGAGAGAAAGTTATTTATTTTGCCGCTTCTTCTTTCATTAACAATTATATCTCAGGTGTGTACCTGAAAGTAGAATAAAAGTAATTCTTGTTGATTTCACCGCGCCTACCACTCGGCTACCCATTACACTTGTCCCGTTCTCTGGCCGTTGGTCACACACACACACACACACACACACACACACACACACACACACACACACACACACACACACACACACACACACACACATGCTAGCAAGGTGTTGGCGCAAACGTGCCCTTAAATACACACAAACGCAAACACAATCGCGCACGCAGTCGCGCACATGATCGCACACACGCAGGTGCACACACGCGCAAGCACACAAAGTGAGGGCGCTGGTCCACGTACACACACATAAGGAGACACACCTACACACCTGGTCCTGGTAAACACTGCCATTATGGTCACGTGTCCCCTTGCGGGACCGACAACATGGAAGCCACGAGCTACGGCAGAAAGTCGGAAGTCCGCCGAGAGGTCAGGGACCATGTTAAATTGGCACCACGAGAGAACCATGTCTGGCAGCTATGGATTTGGAAGCCACGAGTAGAGCGGCAGCACCGACCACATGCCCCACAGTGGGCCTTGCAACACACGCGTGCACACACACGCACACACAACGTACATACACACACACACACACACCCATCATAGCAACCTGTTTTAAATCCAATTCTCCATGATTACACAAACTATGACAAAAAATAAACACAATTACATATATAAAAAATTGGTTATGAGCAACACTGGCTCACACTCAAATCACTGCTTTTCACCAGAAAAATATTATATTTCAACGTTTCGGTCATGAAATAACGATCATCAGGAATGAAGTGGGCACACCGGTTAGGGTGGGTTAATAAATGGTACCGCTTCGCCATGTTGTGTCAGCTGTTGATAGCCCGGTGACCAATATTGCTATTGTCCTGGAGCGCATACTCAACCAATGCCTGAAATATGTCCCAGCACATCTGAAAAACACGCTGGAAGCACTGGAGGATATCCGGCAAGTGTATCCCGACCTACAAGCCCCAGCGGGGACCATCATCGTTACAATGGGCGTGGTCGCTCTTTACCCAAGTATCCCTATCGCTGAAGGGGTGGAGGCGGTTGCTAGAGTCCTGCAGCAGCACATCGAGTCTGTTGACACATTTGGTTTAAGCGTGGAGCAGATCGAAGAGCTGTTAACCTTCGTTCTAAGATCCAATTATTTCAGATTTGGTGAGAAGGTCTACCACCAGAGGAAAGGCATCGCCATGGGTAACAACCTAGCGCCCCCGTTTGCGATTATCTTCATGCATGACCTCGAAACCTCGCTGTTGCTAAACTCGCCTGGTGCTCCCGTACTCTACAAGCGTTATATTGATGACATCATTATGCTGTGGACACTGGGGGCCGCGCTTCTCCGCCAGCTGATTGCATTCTTTAATGCCGCCAATGCGAGCATCAAGTTCACGTATCAATCTTTGGAGTAAACTGGGTCGGTTGACTTCATGGACACGACTATTCATGTCTCCTCCGAGGGCGCAATATCATTCGAGCTGTTCCGCAAAGCTTGCCACAGTGGCCTCGTCTCAGACTTCAACTCGTGCGTTCCGCAACAGCAAAAACTCGCCATCGCGTCTTCGGAATTCCTCCGCGCGGCCCGCCTTTCCTCTGATCCTGCAGCCCGCCAGCGAAGTGAGCAAAAGGTTATTGACACATTAAAATTCAACAACTTTCCTGACAAAGTTATCGCGACTGCTCATGAACGAGCCAGACGACCTGCTAAACAAAAGAAAGACTATCGATCCACGTTGAAGTTACCATTCAAAACGGATGCCATCCACTACAGGGTCCACCGTCTTCTAAACAAATACAATCTAAATGTGCAGATAATCTACAAGAATGCAAGGCTTTCCAACAGCGTCACTAAGTCCAGCCTCACTGGACCTTGCTGCCGTAAGTGGGTAGATCCCGCTGCCCCGAGGCGACGAGGAAGGCCTAAAGCCGCCTGCGTTTCATGCCAATCGAGCGAGGTAGAATGCACAAGACGCAACGTGGTTTATCGTCTGACCTGCAAGTGCTCGGAGAAGTATGTTGGAGAGACTGGCCGTAGTGTAGCAACGCGAACAAAAGAACACAATGATAACTCACGCAACAAGACGTCTGGAAAAGCCCTGGGCGAGCACTACCGACTTCACCATGGCGGTGAGGTACTGCCGCTTGGCGAGTCGGCATTCACAGAGGTTCGCGTCCTTGCCACTGAGTCGGATTGGGCAAGGAGGAGAATACGCGAAGCAATACAAATTCGCGACACGAGCCCCAGCATAAACAATAACGCAGGGTGGGACCTCCTCTGAAGTCTCTGGTGAAGTACTGCCTTGTACATATTTCTGGCCCTGATACTCGCTCTTCCTGGATAGTGTTGGTTTTGCACGCCTTGCACTAGTGCACTGTTACTACTACTGTTGTTGCTAGCGCCTGCAATTACATGTCTGCACGCACCTAGTGCACATGTACATTCTGTTTGTTGCCTGTACCTGTGCCATATTAGTCGCGTATTGCGTTATTTCTATACCTGGTTTTTTGGTGATGTTTTGTCCTTTTGTTCTCTCTCTCGTCATAGTGCATGCAGGTGTGATTTGTTATCAGTTCGCAGCGCTCCTCATTTATTAACCCATCCTAACCGGTGTGCCCACTTCATTCCTGATGATGGTTATTTCATGACCGAAACGTTGAAATATATTATTTTAAGGTGAAAAGCAGTGATTTGAGTGTGAGCCAGTGTTGCTCACAACCAATTTTTTACTTATGAAGCTGCGTGATGCGTCCTACAAGATTTTAAACAATTACATATAGAAAATTGTAAACACACATAGAAATTACTAGCAGTTCATAAATCAATGATGAAAAAACAACATAGCATAGCAGTAGCAGCAGATATGATTATAGGCATGAAAACATCAGAAATCTATTCACAACAGTCCTCAACATTAGAGTAGTAAGCAGGCAAGCAGCAAGCAAAAACATAATATGTACAAGAAGAAAAACAGGCAAAAAAACCTATCCATGGTCAGGGTTTAGGGGTAGGGGGTATACAGGGGAACAAAACAATACAAAACTTTACATTGTCTCAAGAATTCACAACAAATTTACTGAGTTTACATGGCTGTGTGGTCAAATTACAACACAACATACATTGTCACAGTCACATTACACTTACACAGCCAGTCTACATACTCACACACCCAACAAGCCATTCCGACACCCCCTCTCTGTGAACACAGTGACAAGTTGAGAACAAACATTCTCACTCAAGCAACAGTCATACACCGAAAGTACACGTAACTGTGTACACACCTTCACTGCTTCAATGAATCTTAATTCATCATCCTCACTACCCACAAACACATTCCCACCTACCAACAACTCTTCCAGCTGTTTACATTGCTCCAACATATCACAGAGTACAGACAACGGTGCAGCACCATCACTATACATGTACTGGACATCGACACTGTGTACATTCTTACACTGACTAAGTGCACAGCACACCCACACAAAACCAATCACACCAACAGGGTTACTACCGACACTCACATCCACAAGACTACCAGACATGGCTGAAATCACGGAGGACAATGCCTGACCATCATGAATAGCATTCCCCCATAGATCTAGTACATGTACACTGCTACATTTCTGTAAGCCTGCTGATAAGCTGTGAAATGACTCATCACCAATGCTACAATCGTAGAGGTGGACTTCCTCCAAATCACTACATGTATAGCCACACAGTAAAGAACTGAGAGCAACACATTCATGAGAAGAAAGAGAAACGCCACGAAGATTGAGCTTTGATGCAAGCATAGCACGAAAGAAAGGGTGTGTCCAGTTGCAGGACACACCGTGATACTCTGCATGCTCATGATATGCCACAACAAGATGAACAAAAAACCTACGTGTAGGAGAAGATTCATCAGCAGCAACAGCAGCATCAGCTAGACTTACAATGCGAGAAGCAGCAGCTTGCAGGGATTCATGACTCAGCAGCACAGCAGCGGGATGAAGGAGACCCTCGCACAGCCGCGCCAGCTCGGCATCCACCTGGGATAGCGCTTCCAGCAGCACAGTGCCATTTGCAACACTGCCGCTCTCCATCCACACCGTCAGGAGAGTCTTTAGGAATAGCGCGTCTGTGGGCTCTCGGCTGATGGGCATGGAACGGCGCACACGTTGCCCACCATGGCCCTTGCCACGGTCATGCCGAGAAATGAGGAGAATGTCGGCGAGGACTGTCATGTGCTCAGCCTTCAGTACCTGGCACAGTCGGTCGTTGACCTTTGCCATCTCAATCTCACCGGTAAGGACACTTGAGTCGTTGCGCATGTCCTCGGCTAGCTTAGCGGCGGTGGCAGCACGTCTAGCGGCAGTAGCAGCATGTTTGGCGGCTTTCGTCGTCGCGTTGGAAGCCCATTCCTCTCGCCCGTAGCTTGCCCATCTGTTAGCTTTTTTGGTGGATTCGTCGGCCTCACCGCTAGGATCCAGTGGTATGGGATCCGCACACTGCACACGCCATAGCTCCTCCATGATGATCAGCGACACGTCTTCTGGGCATAGAGCAATGAGAAACTTCCAGAACATTACCATATGGCCATCGTACGCGCCCAGTCGCCGTACCAGTGCAATGGCGTGATGTCTTTCTTGCACCAAGCATTCTGCCTGGAACCATGCCGCCAGGAACTCCTGCAGTGACAGATGGCAGAAGCGGTATTGCCGAGCGTCCGTAGACATTGTGCCCTGGCATGTTTGCAGAAGACCCAAGTTCATGGCATCCTTGCTCAAGTGGGAGTTGATGATGTCAGACGTGTTGAACACCATCCTTTTCACCAGCAGCATGCGAAACGCAAAACGCCCCAGTTCCTGTAGCGACTGGACCACTTTGCTGGGTGCAAGTGAAATCGACTCGCAAACCGCACCACCAGCACGCTCTACGACTCGACGCAGTAACGATTCGTACAGGGATGCGCTGCACTTCCACACGGCATTGCTGCTCTTGAAAAGCTCACATGTTAGGGCTGCAAACATGGGAGTTGCCATAAGACATGACACATCCGGCTTGCTCTGCAGCTCTGCCAGCAGAATTTCAGCGCGCTGTCTACGGAGGACCTTCTCTGCATACTCTCTCACGTTCTCCGGTGAGAAACCCAGTACTTGGATCTTCTGCTGATATTTACCACACTGCGATAGTTGATATGCATCCTGGCAAGGACGGCTTGTGACGATCACGTGTGTCTTCACCATGCCCTCACGTTTCAGCAAGTCACTCATGAACAAACTGCAGCTGGCGAAATCACATTCGTCCAAGCCGTCCATGATGACACATAGACGGCTTGGAGAATCTTCGAAGTAGTTTGCAAGCTCCAATATCTCAGTCTGCGACAGGCCCTGGCTCGCCAGTTTCACAGTCAACAGCTCAGCAAGACTAGTGGCAGCTCTCACCTCTTTTTTACGAAGCTCCAGTCCCACGACCAGATCGAATTCCTCCTGCCACAGTTCGCCTCTGCTCCACAGGTATAGAACCATGAGCAGAAACACTGTGGTCTTGCCACTACCAGCAGATCCGTACGCCAGTACATTCCGTAACACCTTGCCACAGAGATTCGGTCGCTCGGTCGCTGTAGCTGCTGGTGCAGATTTTCCTTTTGAATGGGAAACGTCGTCAACACTTGAACCTGCGGCACGAAACAGGTTCATCAATTCAATTCGATCGGCTTTGCTAAATTGCACTGCGTGTTCACGTCTCTCGGCATACGTCGAGAACGCTTCATCAAAGTCTCTTTTCAATTCCTTTTCAGACACAAAGGCCAAATTCACAAATATCTGTTCGAGCGGAATGTGATCATCAGAAGCGAGGCCGCCGCTCAGCTGAACTCCCGACTCTTCGGCCTGTTCCAACAATTTCTTTTTAGCTTTCACCAGTGAAGGCAGCAGAGCCCTGGGCTTTGCGCCAGGCCCCTCAGCCATAAGCTTCGACAGCACAACAGGTATATCTACGTGTGTGAAAAGCGAAAACCTAGTTTGTCAGTTCAGTGCAGTTTCTCCGGACCTACTACTACTGTTCAGTGCAGTTTCTCAGTTCAGTGTTCCATGATGCGTGCAACACTCACTCTGACTCTGTCTGAGTGCACTGCAAGTACAGGTTCCTGCACGAGTACGATGGCAGTACCGCGGAATCCAGCCCGCGCCGCGATAGCGGCAAGGGCTGGATGAACAGCGGTACTATCTGACCGAGTATGATTGACTGGAACGTGTTTCCCGTATGCACCCAAGCCAAGGAGATCTTTGAGTTTACATGTACCATTCTGACCAACGCATATGGCCGATTGGTTTGCAGGCCTGCCTGCGAATCATGAGGTCCCGAGTTCGAGACCCGCGCTGGTAGCAGGGAGCGTGTGTAAAGAAGCTAGTTCCAACCAATCCAAGTAGAGTG